GTGGTCCTGGGATTTTTGCTCATCGTTCTTGTGATCATTTTGACCCCACGGGGTGAGATCTTGCGTGGAGCCCCAGATCGAGGGAGATTATCAGTGGTCTTGTATGTCTTCCATTTTCTAATTATTGCTCCCACAGTTGATTTGTTCACACCAAGATGCTTGCCTATTGCAGATTCAGTCTTCCCATCCTGGTGCAGGTCTACAATTTTGTTTCTGGTGTCCTTCGACAGCTCTTTGGTCTTCACCATAGTGGAGTTTGGAGTGTGACTGTTTGAGGTTGTGGACAGGTGTCTTTTATACTGATAACAAGTTCAAACAGGTGCCATTGATACAGGTAATGAGTGCAGGACAGAGGAGCCTCTTAAAGAAGAAGGTACAGGTCTGTGAGAGCCAGAACTCTTGCTTGTTTGTAGGTGACCAAATACTTATTTTCCACCATAATTTGCAAATAAATTGGTTCCAAATCAGCCAATGTGATTTGTCTGGATTTGTTTTCTCATTTTGTCTCTCATAGTTGAGGTCTACCTATGATGCCAATTACAGGTCTCTCTCATCGTTTTAAGTGGGAGAACTTGCACAATTGGTGGCTGACTAAATACTTTTTTGCCCCACTGTATATGTGTGTGTGTATATATATATATATACGCAAATTGGTATAGTTTGTAAGCCTCAGATATGTTTTTTTATATTTTATTTTTGGAAATGAATGTGTAGGTGTAGGATGATTTATTACCCTATAAAGACCCGAATTCCTCCTGAATATGCATTTATCTGCCTTTCTTTGTAGAAAATGCCAATGTCAAAGACCAAAATCATTTTCTGGAGATTAAAATGGCAGCCCTGGCACCTGCGATGATTTAGATCCTGGTGTCTGCACAGTAGTTTTTTTGTTCTTGGCTGTGTGTAACCTTGTCTCTCACATGTCATCCCTCTGCTGCTGTCCCTTACTGTGTACCCGGCCTAGAAAGTTTTTCAGTATTCCCAGTAAGCAGTTACTGGGATAAGAACACCAAGGAAATGCTTCCAGCTGGCTGCATCAGATTTGATAACCTTATTCTCACAATTCATGTTTTCAGGCAGACCATGGGAGATTATGCATAGACATCCTGGTGCTACCAGAGCTTAAAGGGCAGCTGCACTTTCAGATAAACTTCACTTGTCCACACTGCCTCTAGTCGCCTGATCTAAACTAATGACAACCACAACCTGACAGAATATTTACATTCTCCTCCTGGCTGCATCTGCACAGTAATTCCTCATATTCCTTTCTGGGTTGTCTTTTGAGACTGGACTGTGTTGTATTGTTGCTGTGTATTGTAATTGAGCATTGTCCGTGAATCAGTGTCTTCCTCGTGCCCCTCTAGCACAGTGGTAACAGTTTGTTTGCCTATGTCACAGATTTCTTTAGTTAAGGTCTTTGTGATCTTTATGGGCATGTGCTTCAGTGCTTTGCACAGCAGAGACTCAAACAATGCAAGAGTCCAATCTGGTCATGGTTAATATTGGGAAAGATAGGAGATGCAGCTAGCTCACCTTCACCCTTATCTTGCTCCTGATCTGGAGTTGAGGGATGATCCTTGCGTGCTGTGTGGCTGACAAGGTCTGACATCACCATCATATGCACTGCGCGGCTGAGGGTTTAAGTAATAGGTTAGTGCTCCAGGCTGCCTCTCGATCTTGTGAGAACCAACAAGGAAATGTCTGTCAAATGCTGCTGGTGATGCGAGTGAATTTGCGATCTATCTGCTGTTAGAGCCAGTATTGTCCCCAGTGTTGCAGAGTGGTACCAGGCTGCAGCCATTCAAAACACTGTGAGGGGAATTTATCAAAACTGGAGCAGGTAAAATCTGGAGCAGCTGTGCATGGCAACCAATTAGCTTCTCTCTTCAGTTTGTTCAGTTAAGATTTGTAAATGCAAAAGAGAAGCTGATTTGTGCCATGCACAGCTGCTCCAGATTTTGTCTGCTCCAGTTTTGATCAATTTCCCTCTGTGTGTGCAGTTTTTTTTTTATGTGGACTTGACGTTATTGAAAGGCCCGATTTGTTGATTTCACTAGTTCAGGGAATTAATAGAATGATCAGTGTAGAAGCAAGTGAATTCTAAAATGCACCACCTAGTGGAAATCTGAATTAATGAATCATCTTTTAGTTGCCATGCCCTTTAATGTATAGTCTACTGTCTCCTTTTACCAAGTTAGAATTCTAAAAATGTGTGTATTTCCATAGAAATGATACTTTATTTCCATGGTCTGTTCCATTTCTTAGAAACAGGGACATTGCTGCCTTTTAGGGTTTGTGTATGCATTTGTTTTGTATATAATTAATCATGGATGGAAAAAAAATACAGTTTTAAGGTCATTTAAATTATATGCAGCCATCTGTTAAAGCTCTTGACAGCAGAAGTCCTGAAATGGTTATGGTTAGGGATGCACCGCTACCGGTTTTTCGGTATCGAGTATGAGTACAGATTTTTTTTTTTTATCGGTACTCTCCAATACAGAGTACCGATACCTGCATCTCAAGGTAACGTGGGGTTGGCTTCCTGACCAATCAGGAAGCTGGGCAGTGGGTCATGACCTGCCGCTAGGCTGCCTTGCAGTTTCTCTAGGCAGCATGAAGCCGGCTTCCTAGCCAAGCCGGGAGGCGGGTCATGACCTGCTGTTCGGCTTCCTCGCAGTGTCGCTAGGCAGCGTGAAGCCAGCTTCCTAGGCAATCGGGAAGCTGGGAGGTGGGTCATGACCCGCCGCCCGGCTTCCTGATTGGCCGGACAGCTGGCTCCATGCTTCCTCGTGGCATTGCCGGTCAGAGGGAATCTCCATTTGACCAGCAGTTCCGGTATTCCGGTAAGTACTCGCCCAAATGCTCAGTATTGAAACCAATACCAATTGGCGTCCCTAGTCATCATTACTGGCCGTCCTTATCCAGATTACATCCTATTTCTTAGCCTAGATCTTACATATACTACCTGCATTTTGTTTTAATCCACATTTTTCCTAATGTTTATGTAGGTTACGTAATTGTATGTAAAGTTTATAGGTAGGTCCGTATCTAAATCTGAACAACGCTGCATGGTTTACATTCCATGAGAAAATATGTCCTTGTAATTTGAACAGCAATAAAATAACTGATAACATTAGAATTTTCACTGTCAGCAAGAGATGAAGTAATTATTTTGAATTGCTGTAATGAGTGACGGCGGCCTGTTTCCATAACACTGAAGCATTTCAATAAAAGCTATTTGTTTATAAACTTAAAGCAAGTCCCTTATGATGTTGCTGGATAATGGCTTTTTTTTGCTAAATAAACATTGGGGAAATTTATGAACATATTTACGACAAATTTTTCAGGAGCAAAGACCAAAATGTCATGCTAACTAACCGCAGTTTTATTACTGTTCTGCTTCTTTTTTTTTTTTTTTTTTTTTTTTGTGTGTTCTTGTGATATATTCATGTTTGCACATGTTTTCTGACATTTCGCATATTGTTTCAATAGTGGTATTTGCGTCAGTAAAATACTTTCAAACTATTACACATCTTAGAAAAGTTCACTTCCGTGGATAAGGCAGAAGTGAACACTTGGAAAGTGAGGTGAATTGGAGAATTTCTCCAAACCAGCCATTTTGTCCTAGATTGTTCACTTCTCCTGCCTTCTCCAAACTCTTCACCCTTTTGTGATTAACCCTGAGAGTATTTGCTGTGTATTGGTGTGATGCTGAAAAAACCATATGAGTATAATTATAAGTATATAGAGCTGCATTGCATCAAATATTTAACATTTTTTTTTAAAAAGGTTAAAAAATTCTATTTTGCTGCATTCACACATAGGGGTAGCGGTTTTTCGGAACCGCGCAAATGGTAACATACATGCGGATTCTGCGCGTTTGCGGCTATTACTATTGCCGAAACATAGGGAATCCACCCATAAAATTGTGCTTGGGACACACTCTCACACACTCTTCAGCAAGCTGAGTGTTTCTGATCTGGTGTGTGAGACTGATTGATTGTCATGAAAGTGTTGCCCCACAAACGCGAATTAGGCCAGCTTCCTCCCCAACAGACGAGCTGCTGCAGGAGTAGTAGAAAGGATTTGTTCTGCACTTACAGGCAGGTGTCCTGAGAAATGAACCAAGCAAGTGGTAGTCTGTGAATAGACAACAAGTCCCGTCTGCTGACTGAAGGATCAAGTTCTGCAAGGAGGCTGAGACTGGGGCAGCTCTGTCTTAAGGAGTAGCAGACAGAGATGCGATGCAATATAGCCGGGAGACTGACGGGGTTATTCACAAAAGGGTGAAGAGTTTGGAGAAGTGAACAATCTTTGTTGTAGTACTGATTTCTTGTGTAGTTTCAGGTGACTTGCACTATGAATCTTTGTCTATAGGATAGAAAGTTTGGTTGATGATCGCTGGTTAATCTTAGGCTGGGTTCACACCTAGGCGTATCGAATATGCGCGTTTGTCACGTGTTTCGTGCCGCACGTTTTTACCATGAATGCAGTAAAAAAACGCACGACAAACGCGCGTTTCTGAGGGCTACCTGGCTGTATCCCAATGAATACGCCCCAAAGAAGCTTCTGTACTTCTTTGGGCGTAGGGCGTTTTGTAGCGCGTTCATACGGCCTGTAATACGCCCAGGTGTGAACATACCCATAGGAAATAATGGGATTTCCGCGTTTGAGCGTTTTGCAGAGCGTAGGAACGCGCTACAAAACGACCAGGTGTGAACCGGGCCTTAAAAATGCCCTACAGTACCTTAAAAAAAAGTATCTTACCTGTGTATTACTTTGCTGTTGGTTCTCAAATCATCTCTGAATTGGTGCTGACACTGTCCTTCATTCTGAATGGTCTCTGTGTGTGCTGTAAGGTGGCACCGGTGCCACCGGCATCTCACAGCTTCTTCTCCCCACCTGGAGCTGCTCCATGCTTCTCTTCAGATCCCCGCTGCACTCCCCCACCTGTATGGGCTGAGGCAGCGGGGATACAAGGAGAAAATGTCTGGTGGGGGGGGGTGTGTGTGTAGGAGGGAGCCCCTTGTGTAACGTACACGTGCACCATATTGTGGTGTACAACATGCACATACACTGTGGTGCGCAGTGCTTTGATTTTTTTTTCTTTTCAAAAAACCATCCATTTAACTACGTGTCAGCGCATGGCAAAGCGTTGTGACGCATTGCTGTGTGTTGTGATTAAATGTACGCCTGTATCATTTTATCACAACACACACAACACAGCGCACAAACTATTTTTAACATAAGTTGCTTATTTACAGTTTTGAGTTATTTTATGCGCGAGCAGAAAAAAAATGCCGTCTGGAGACGGCAACCCGCAGATGCAGCAGTGCCGTCCGTCCGTTTTTTTACTACGGGCGGACGGCAAGAGGTTAATAACTCGATAACATTTTAACCTTTTAGATTTAGTCAGAAAAGTATTTTTTATGTGCACCAAAACTGATTTTAGTGTGCTTTTATCAATTGAATTGTGTATTTATATCGGTTTAACATTGATTTGACAAACATTTGCACAATTTTCGCAGGACCTATAAAATTAGTATCACCATCTTTTTACTCTACCGGGCCTGCGCTTTTAGAAAATATATGGTTTGGGGGGTAAAGCTGCAGTTGAGGGCTTGGCAGCGAAAGGGTCAATCCTTATCCTCCGTATGATAAAATCCGGGGGGTGGTAATATCAGAATAGGCAGAATTGCAGCTACATAATGATGTGTCAGCAGGCAAATCTTTGTTTACTGGATAATGCTGCCAGAGAAAAAAAATCATGCAATGGTTTGTAACTTTGCCTTATGTAGCAAAATTGAGATCTACTGTATATTTAACATTATTTGAGCACCAACTGACATGGCGGTGCTTTATCTAATTAGGCATCCTCTGTGTGCCCATTCACTGTTTTCTGCTCCTTCACCATGGCTGTCACAGATCTGCTATAGTCTGGAATACATGCATACATGTGATGGATATCTGTCATTCAGCCAGTGGTCATGCTGAGGTGAAGGGGTTGAGTTGTAGTTTTGTCCGTGCATGGCATAGTTTTATTTTCTAGGATGTTCTTGGTTACACAAGATACACATTTTCCTTTATGTACTAGTGTGTGTATAACAAATGTTTGCACGTGTCACAAACAGCTTCTGTAAGTAGATGATTTTCTTTTTTCTTTCTCTTCTAGAAAATTATTTTTTGGAATAAATGAAATTACAGTTAAAGTGCCTTCTCTTTTTAAGCTTCTGATTAAGGAGGTAAGTGGAACATGTATGACATGTTATCCGTGCACCATGACATGTCCTGTATATGATTTTTTAAATTATAGCTTCAAACTCCAGCCAACAAAAAAAAAATCCACAGCCCCTACCTCTCTAACCTACTTGGTTAAAATAGCATTAAAGTTTGGGCATTATTTACCTTAATGCATTCTGTGCATTACGGTAAAACCCGCCCATTACCTACTGTGTCTTTCCCCCTCCACACACACATGCCTCTCACCGCCGCCATGCCCGAGGCGATCCTCCGTTCCCCCTGTTCTTGGGCGGGGAGGGCACACACAATACAGATGCACACTATCCAGCTGAATGACAATGCTGTAGCTCCACCATAGGAATGGCCATGACATGGGCTTAGCATGAGGGGGAGCAGACAGCCAGGATAAACCGAAATATGCTTTTATTTCACAACCACAACCTGGACCTAATTGGTAGCAAATATGAGAAGTTCATTGTTAGGGCTTACGTACACTTTAAAACAGCTTCATGATGCAGTTTGTCATCTCGTATAACGATAATAGACAATGCAGTGGAATGTTTAGTGTACTGTACCAGATTTTGAAAAATCTAAATATGGGCCAGTTGCTAAAGTCTATGACTTGTTTCATGGTGTTTCAGGTACTGTTAATTACCTCTGTGTTATCGCAGTGTAAGGCCTGTTTATAATTTGTGCTTTTAGGGTTTTTGACTTTTCATTTTCCTTGCAGGTTCTCAACCCTTTTTACATTTTTCAACTGTTCAGTGTTATTTTATGGAGCACAGATGAATACTACTACTATGCATCAGCCATTGTCCTAATGTCTGTTATATCCATTATCAGTTCTTTGTACACCATTAAAAAGGTAAGTTACAAGTTGTTATTGACTCAGGATACGGCCCTAAAGATGAACTTTACCCATATCTTTGAAATGACAACAAACACACCTTTAGAAATGTTTTAGTAATTACAATCTATAAACAGATACTTATACATAATTGCCAGCTTTTTATTTTTTCATTCCTTTTGTTTCTTTTCCTCCCCATTCTTCTGTCTGCGGCTAGATTTTTTTTTTTTTTTACTAAAGGCAGATTAATATATCTCCGTTTACTTCCTGGAACTCTGGCACATGTGTCTAGGACACGTACCCATGCATATCATCGCAGGGGAGGAAAAATGTATTTCCCTGAGATCTCATGAGCATTCCCAGCAATGCACTGCTGATATAACCTTCCCAGGATGCTGTATATGGGCACACATTACATGATTTGTATCAAAGAGGACCAGGAAGAAGAAAAACTAATTGTACATAACATAAAAATGTTTAATTAATGAATGTAAGATGATGTCATATCCCCATGCAGAGCTGCATGCTAGGGTGATTTTTAGTGAAGGGGGGGAAAAGATCCACTTTAGGAACACCTTTCAGCTATTTGGTTTAATTTTACTGGACCTTGTATTATTGTGTCATGTATTTGTATTCCCAATTCTTGCTATAGTGATGTACCTTCTATATTTTTGAAGACCTTGTTTTCTGGTGCTCTTCATTTGTAAAAACTTTAAAATAAAGAACTTAAAAAAAGGTAAGTTACAGTCTCACTAACGTGTAAGACCAGACAAACTGCTAAATACACCTCTGCCACCACTGCTTAGCCAGGAAAATGACTCCACTGGTGGGTAGAAGTTCTTTGACAGAAAGTGTAATGGAGTTTATTTTAGGTTATCATTTTAAGTAGACTCTGAAGTGCATATACCTAGTGCCTGCATTTACTTGTAGAAGCTTTCAATATTCCACTGCTTTGCCCGAATGTTGGAAGGTTCTGTTAAGGATTTATTGGAGCTTGCCACTAATCGCCTGCCTCCTGCACCCATCACTGTGACTGACTGCCTCACTGGCCGATGGGATCATGTGCAAGGATGGAGGGGCGGGCAACTTTATCCCTAAGAGGAAGCACTGAAGCTTTGCCCTATTATACCACCTAACAATCAGGTGAAGAAGATACTGAAATCTGCTGCTGGCATATCTGGGTGTCTGCACTTCATACTTGTCAGCACAGTTCATTACTTCTAAAATGACAGAGTCTCTTAAAAGAAGAACTCAAAAAGTCTAAAGTGGCCTGATGGCTAAGTGTAATTTGCACTCTACTCTAACCTCTGTGACAGCCTTTGTGTGTGTGTATATATATATATATATTCAGAAAAGAAAAGAATCACCCCCCTTTTAAATTCGTTTTAATTTTTTCTGACATGTTGGTGTTCTATCTTTCACTTGGATGTTATAAGTTGCACTGAGAAATACAGCTGGATAAAACAAAAACTGTGTGTGTCTTCATTTCAGGCTGTAAAGCAACAAAATGTGATTATTTTAAAGGGGGCTGATTCTTTTCTATACCCACTGTATATAATACACACATACAGTACATACACATGTAAAATATGAAATGGTTCTCTTGCACAATTGTTTATCTTCATAGTCGTTCACATGCTGAAATGTCTGGATAGATAATATAGATAATATCTACTAATATAGATAATACTTGTTCATTCTTTTACCTTTGTTTTCACAGCAATATACAATGTTACATGATATGGTTGCAGCTCACAGTATCGTCAGAGTTTCCGTGTGCCGTGCAAATGAAGGTGAATAATTGATGCCATTTATGTCATGCTGATAACTGTGAAAGCTGATAACACTAGTAATTATTTTTTTATGTTTTACTGGTAAGGTGTTATCTATGTCCTTTTTACTGATTGGCAAATTTGCCCTTTTCTGTTGCAAGAACACTTGTAAATCTTTGGAGCAATCTTCATGAAAGGTATAGTGCATCTAGTAAGTGTAGACAGCTATATCCTCCTCTGCTAGGGAATCTCATTAGCTGTAGTGAACCATAAGCTTGCTTCTATTGTATTCTAAACCAGCAGTTGGGAATTTAATATAAGCTTGTCATACACAGCTAGGTTTTTTCAGTTGATGCCGCCATACAAAGTGTGGATGGAGGAATCTCCACTGCAGCCTATTGTATTAAGTCAGCTAGCACACATGGCTGTCTGAATACTCGGACTGTGGCAGCATTTGAAAGGATATTTGGCAGTGGAAAGAGTGCCCTGGACCTGTGTGATTATTCGGTTAGTGTTTATCATCCAGTAACGGTTAAGTGATATAGATTGTGTAATCTGGCTAATGGATAGGCAGCTATCACTGGTCTAAAGGTCTCCGTGTTATCCCTGACTAAACAGTGAACACAGTAGGTGTAAGAATTGAAGCACCACGCCAATTAAAATAGCCACGATCCAACTTTATTCTGCTAGGATCAGGTGAAATGCTATGGGTACAATTTTTAAAAAGGTGTAAAAATCTACGTTTAGACATAATTGCTATGGTTTTTTATACCAGATGTTACATTATGATCCCTTATTTTCTTTGAGTTAATTATTCCAGTATGCTGCAGGATTGTTTTGCCAGACATTAGATGTCTATTTTTTGCAGATTAGTTAGCTATCAATGTGTATAGTCAGAGTTCTGGAAGTGTTACATCTCGTCCTTCACTGCTCCGGGAAGTAGTTGAAAATTCCATTACCTCATGCTGTATAGCCATTGACTGTATGCCCAGAATGTCATTTTATTATTTTATACTTGGTTTACTACTCTTTAAAGTCTTGTTTGTAGGTAATATATGCCAAAATGTGTGTAAGAGTGGAGATTTGATGTCGTATTAAGGTCACAGACTGGCTATTCTGAGAGCTAGAGTAAAGAATGGGGGAGGAGGTGGGGTATTAGGTGGTTTTAGTTAGTTTTTAATATCTTTAATCCGTTCCTATTTCATGTGTTGATCTTTTGTTCTGGCGATTTTATGTTTCTTTTTTAGAGGCAGAAGAAATCCTGTCTACGGATCTAGTACCTGGAGACATCATTCTTATTCCACCTAATGGGACCATAATGACATGTGATGCTGTCCTGATTAGTGGAACTTGCATTGTAAATGAAAGCATGCTAACAGGTATTGGTGCATGAAGGCAAATGTAGTTCAGGAGAGAAAAAAATGTAATGCTACCCATGTACTATGTATTGTTGGAAGGCCATGTACCTGATTTTAGCCTCAAATATCAAGAAGTCACCCGCACTCCATACAGCATATAGACCCCATACTTTGGTATGATGATGCATGTATGATGCATTATTATTATACAGGATTTATATAGCGCCAACAGTTTGCGCAGCGCTTTACAATATAAGGAAAACATTACAATCACAATACAATTCAAGACAAGATGGTAAGGAAGGCCCTGCCCGTGACGGCTTACAATCTAAAAGGGAGGGGCAAGTGATACATGAGAAGGTAGCTGTGCGGGGATGATTGTTTGAGAAAGTGATTGTTCAGTGGTCAGGTTGAGGTGGGGTAGGCTCCCCTTAAGAGATGAGTCTTAAGGTATCACCTAAAGGCAGTCAAAGTGGGAGATAGTCGGACAGGTTGGGGTAGAGAGTTCCATAGGATGGGAGAGACTCTAGTGAAGTCCTGGAGGCCAGTATGGGAGGAGTTGATGAGGGAGCTGAAGAGCAGGAGGTCTTGTGAAGAGCGTAGGGGACGGTTAGGGTAATACTTTGAGACCAGGTTGGAGATATAGCCAGGGCCAGAGTTGTGGATGGCTTTGTAAGCGGTTGTTAATATTTCGTATTTTATCCTTTGGGCTATAGGAAGCCAGTGCAGGGATTGACAGAGGGGGGTTGCAGACACTGAGCGGTTGGTTAGGTGAATGAGTCTGGCAGCTGCATTCATGATAGACTGAAGGGGGGATATCCTGTGTAGTGGAAGGCCAATGAGGAGGGAGTTGCAATAGTCAAGACGAGAGATAACAAGCGAGTGTATGAGTAGTTTTGCGGTTTCCTTGGTGAGGAAGGGGCATATTTTGGAGATGTTAGGAAGGTGAAGGCGGCAGGATTTGGATAGTGATTGGATGTGGGGAAGAAAGGTGAGGTCCGATTCAAGGATGACACCTAGGACCTTGGCATGGGGATGCATGTGACAATTCAATAAACAAGTGCCTATACTTTTTGCTTGTATCCTCGATTGCTGGTGACTTTTGTTATGGACTGATTTTAGCCTCACTTGCAATTATCAAATAGCGAACGAGTTATACTGACCATACACTAAACAATATGCGATCGATCAGACTCTGTCATTTCAAATTACCTTAAAATGTTAAACTCTTCATGGCCTGTGTTTGCAGCATAATGAGCTTTTAACAATTTCGCTATAGCATACAACGGCAGCAGCTGCACCCTGTAAACAGGCTATAGCCGACTGACCACTTTATGTGGCCACGGCCTGCCAAAAAGCATTGATCCGTATGCTGATTGTCCCCCTGTGCTAAATGAAGCTGAAAGCAACAAGCTTTTCCTCACTTCAGGTTTCAGAGCTGTCATACCCCAAAAACTCAGTCTGGAGATGAAGCTAATCAAACACAAGGTGTGTTTGATCAGCTTCATTGGGGTACAGAGGTGACATTAGGGGTCTAGGAAAATTATTCTGACTGTGAAATTATTGCTCTTTGCATTGCCTTATTGCTTTTACACTGGCTTATAGAAAAATCCGGGTTTACTGTGAACATTTTTTTTTATGACATCCGATTACTGCCACTTTGGCTTCTACGTTAAAAAAAAGGTAGCACACCCATGTGTGTTTGAATATATTTGTTTGATTTGAATGCACTCTCTTTCATAGGTGAAAGTGTTCCTGTGACTAAGACCAACTTGCCAGATCCTTCTAATTCCAGAGGAGAACAAGATGAAATCTATAGTACAGAGGTTCACAAGCGCCACACATTATTTTGTGGGACCAATGTCATCCAAACGAGATTTTATGCTGGAGAGCCTGTCAAAGCCATAATTGTCCGGACAGGTAGCCTAACAGTAGTTACCTATTTGCTTTGATATGTTGGTTTGTGCAACCCCGACTCTGAATTGTAGTCATATTGGTATACAGTGATAGCATCACTAAGTGTAAAATAAAAATGGATATGACCATAGGCCTTGTGCTTTTATACAGACCACAACTCCAGGCTGACTTCTTATCTGTTTATTTCATAGAATTATTCCTTATAATGAACCATACTAGACAGTGCCACTTACTTCCAACATACGCCAAGTGTAATATACATACTGACAATGATATTAACAAGGCCCCTGAAACATTACTGTTAAAATTAAGGCCTTCTCTCTTGCCTGTTCTTAACCATGCCGTGATCCTTTTTACTTGTTGAATAAAGATACCCATTGGTGTGGGTGTGCAGGATTACTGATGACACAGGTGTTGTTTTACCTCCTTTGTTAGAACCTTCATTTTTTGAATGCCCAGAAATGCAGGCAAGTAATATATGACTGTAGGGGAAGCCTGGGCAGGGGTCCAGTACAAATGTGATGTGTAGGTGGTGACCCTCAGTGGAGATACTTCACCGTTCAGACATCAGTCAGAGTGGGCATCATTTAGCTACCTGCTCCATGTTCAGACCTGTGCTTGATCACTGTGTCTGGTCAGGAGAAATCTTCTAGTACCAACTTCCTTTGCAGCTCTGAGATGTTATGTAAATGCCAAAAGCCACAAATGAAAGTGAATGCTGGAAGATAAAAAAAAAGATGTCACAGTTAACCATATGCTTTTGGCAAAGCCACCTTCCATCATGCCCACCAATAACTGGAGACACATGGCATACTTTGTGTGCTAATCTTTGTTAAGCCCACAGAAATCTGCACCATGTCACATTTTACATGACACACCGTCTTTAGTCCACAGAAATATGTCCTTACCATGAAAGGGCCACTTGATTGTAGTTTGCACTTAGACCAACGAGTCAAAGTCCTCCCCTGGTTTCACCCAAAATAATCTATTAAATGCAGTAATAATAATAATAATTTGTTGCTTTCCTTGTAAGTGTTACCTAATATAGCCCAGTAATTAATTTATCTGGTGTGTATTGTACCCCCAGGATTCAGCACATCTAAAGGACAACTTATCCGCTCTATATTGTATCCAAAGCCAACAGACTTCAAGCTTTACAGAGATGCCTATCTGTTCCTGCTGTGTCTCGTTGGGGTGGCTGGGGTCGGGTTCCTTTACACAGTTGTAAATAGTATTTTAAATCAGGTAATGATTTTGACTTTGATACTCAGAGATTTATTTTGTGTTACTAAAGTTATTTTATAAGAATGCGCTTATTGGGTTTTTAACAGTATATTGTATCCTCTGTTTACAGGTCCCAGCTAGCATTATTGTTATTGAATCACTTGACATCATAACCATTACAGTACCTCCTGCCCTTCCTGCTGCTCTAACTGCTGGGATTGTGTATGCACAGAGGCGCCTGAAAAAACTTGGAATTTTTTGTATCAGCCCACAGAGAATAAACATTTGTGGACAGTTAAACCTCGTATGCTTTGACAAGGTAAATATTTTTGTAGCTTAACTGTACTTTTCATAGACAAAAACAATTCTCTGAGAGAAGTATTAGGGCTCACTACTTTTGTAACACGTGCACTAATATGCCTTGATTTTGACTTGCATTACACCCGCTGCCTTTTAAAAAAAAAATTATGTAATTGATGACAAAATGCCGTATGCAGGACTTTTTACTAGGGATGCACCAATATCGATACTAGTATCGGTGCTGATACCGAGTATTTGGGCTCAGTACTCGTACTCGCCCAAATGCTTCATTACTTCCCTCGATACTGGAACTTCTTTGACCGGCATCGCCGAGCGAGCATGGAGCCGGCTTCCTTTCCAATCAGGAAGCCGGGCGGCAGGTTATGACCTGCCTCCTCGCTTCCTGATTGGCTAGGAAGCCGGCTTCACTTGTTGCTAGGCACCCTTGCTCCCCAACCAATGAGGAAGCTGGGCAGGATGTCATGACCTGGCTCCTGGATTGGTCAGGAAGCCAGGCTGCCTAGCAACAAGTGAAACCAGCTTCCTAGCCAATCCGGGAGGTGGGTCATGACGTGCCACTCAGCCTGATTGACTAGGTAGCCAGCTTCACTTGTTACTAGGCAGCCAGACTTTCTGACCAATCAGGAAGCCGGATGGCACCTCATGACACGCCGTCTGGCTTCCTGATTGCTCAGGAAGCCAGGCAGCCTCGGGAAGTGAAGCCGGTGTTCTTTTGATAAAACACCAGCTTCACAAGCAATCAGGAAGGCGGGTTGTGATCCGCCAACCGGCCCCCTGATAATCGGGGCACTCGGTATTCGTTATCGGCGAGTACCGAAAGAAAAATATCGGTACTCGTACTTGATACCGAGAAAATGGTATCTGTTCAGCCCTACTTTTTACTGTTGCACAGCAACTACATCACATTGTTGCGAACAGTTCCTGTTGAAAACAGATTTTCTTTTTCCATGCATTTTACTTTTCCGGGAAAATGTGTCCTTATAGCAGTAGAAAAAATTATAGCACATTCACTGAGGTGACGATGAGAGCTGCCATTTTTTTGTAGCTTACTCGTGTTCTGAGCTTGTTGTATGAGCCGGATGTTAATAGAAGAAATGAATGCAAGCATTGCAGATCTATATGGGGCAGCAAGTTGTAAATGCCGTCCTTTCCATGTTATGGTTTACTGAAAACTTCCGCAGTACCATTATCTCACTAGTCTGTGCACTCTACTTTCCTTCTCTGCTATATTATGAATAGAATGATTCCTTGTAAATGGTGGTCCCATAATCTTCCTTTGCAGCAACTAATTGCATTCATAAAACAGCAGGAACAGGAAGGATAGAGTGCATGGGCTGGACGCATTAAGCTGCCACTGCACTGCCTTTTCAGGTTTTGGAGATCCATAACTTGGAAAGGACAGCGCGGAGTGTAATGAACACTTTACTCATACCTCCCGCTACCCTTGCTGGTTATATTTATAGTTCTATAAAGTGAACCTGTTGCTTTTTAATGTTTTTAGATATGCATGTGAAAAAGATCATCTAAAGTAAAATCTAGTCAAAGTATTATAATGTTTCAAAAACCTTGTTTTTATGTTTGTGGAAATCAATTTTGACTCATTACGCATGCAGGGTCTGCTTCATGCTGATCCTCTTATCTCACTGATTTATAAACAATACACTCTATTCAGTCTGTAATAATATCACAATCCCACAATGCTGTGATTGCCATAAACAAAATTATCTTTTGGTGACACAATGTAGGACAGAGCAGCATTTGTTTTTTTAATTTACGGCAAGAAGGTGGTTTTTTTTTTTAAACATTAAATGTTATATGGTAATGCTGATTTTCACCTTGTTGATTTGATGTGTGCTAGATCTAATGTAAGATAATTGTGTGACCAGTTTGTATACAGTTCTTATTTTGTTTCTGGTACAAATCCTTTGATTTCTGTGTTTTGGGAAATGCCTCCCGATGTGGGTTTTTTTTTTGTGCACAGAAATATTGGTTTGTCAGGCTTTCAGATTTCTAAGTTATATTTGTCAAGGTTTATTTCTCAGTTTTGTTCTCTATATATGAAAGTTATTCACTTTTTTACTGCCTCTTCTGTTTTCAGACTGGCACTCTTACTGAAGATGGGTTAGACCTGTGGGGAATCCAGAGAGTAGAACATGTTAGGTAAGAAGTTACATGGGTTCTGCAGACTTTTGCAGTGGATAATTCCATAAGGATAGCAGTGATCCCTATAGCAGGAGTATGCAAACTCTGGCCCTCCAGCTGAGATCAAACTACAATTCCCACTAGGCATTGCAAGACTCTGATAGCAACAGGCATGTCTCCCAGAGGAGGATGTATTATGGGACTTGTAGTTTCACTGCAGCTGGAGGGCCAGAGTTTGCCTACCCCTTTTCTATAGGTTTATTGTATATTACTTGGGCTTTGATATGTTAGTGATTCTGCAAGGAAGTAGTAAAAGTCCTATAGTCAGGGCTTGAAAAATTTGATGGTGTCTCACCAGTCAGTCAAAAATGTCACCAGTCAGCATGACCGAACTATAGCCTTGCAATTTATGTAACATTTTTTTGGGGACAGATAGAGCTTTCTTTTGTTTTGTTTTTTACTGTTTAATGAAAAAAGTACCATATATGTAATAGAAAAAAAAAAGGTTTCCCTACGTTATGTTATAAAACATTTATTCTTACCCATATTTCTAGTAAAACAAAATTCGAGGTCACGTCGGGTAAATAAGACACCAAACATGCCAAGCCTTAAAATTGCGTGCGCTGCAAAATCGCAAAAAACGCCCATAGGCGACGATTGAAATGCTTTTACTGCTCATCAGTTTAGTGTCATCAGTGATTAATGGCTCTAAAATTATTGCTCTCACTCCGACGTTTGTGGCGATATTTAACATGTACGGCACAATAGGCGCAATCGTTGTTTTCGCACGTAGGCGCTACCGAACTCCCCAGAGAAGCTGATGAAGCAGAGATCTGCTTCATCAGCTTCTGTAGCTGGAGAGTGACACTGAATGCAGGAAGTGATGTAATATACATCACTTCCTGCATTCGGGGACTCAGAGGAGATCAAAGGGAGTTCGTATACTGAACTCCCTTTGATCTTCTGTCACAGAGCCATGCTGGTCCCGGCCACATCGGGCACAGCGGATCTCGGTACCGGCAACGGCAGTGACAGCTGCTAATACAAGCGATCGAGCGTCTCTATAGACGCTCGATCGCTTGAATGTAGAGCTCCCGGCCGGCCGTGTAATTACAACGGCCGGCCGGGAAGCTGCTCGTTGGGCTCCACCGTTCTCTCGTCGCGGACGAGTGGATTTTTCAAGCCCTGCCTATAGTCAATACACTAATAGTTCAGCTACCAGTATATTTTACTTCCTGTCCAGAAACGCACTCATTGGAATTGTGAAAGCTTTGTGCAGAATACAGCCTCTGGGGAAGATGATGATGATGATACCTCCTTAGGACCTAGCCCTTATTCTGCTTTCTCACTGGGGAACTCCACTAGCTTCATCTAGCTAGCAGTGCTATCTAGGACAGGGACACAGACCATTCAGCTGGTGAAATCGGAGCTCGTAGTGAGTCAGTGACTCAAAGCTTTTAGGCCAAAGGATTAGGTTAATGGCAAACCTTCAGAAGGAGGTTGGCAACGTTACACATATTTCTCTAACAAAAGATTTTCAGACATGAAACATCAATTTCTGAGCATTCTTCAGGATAGAGGATTTCACTGCTTCATTTAGTTTAAATGCATGCACTTCGTTACATGTATGGAAATATAATCTAATTGTTTTATCTCAAATGATTTCAGGTTCCTTCTGCCAGAAGAGAAAGCTTGTAGTGATGGTTTGGTAAAGTCTCAGTTTGTTGCATGTATGGCAACCTGCCATTCACTCACGAAGATTGATGGAGTGATTTCAGGGGATCCTCTAGACTTAAAAATGTTTGAAGCCATAGGATGGGTGAGTCGTCTCCTCTTTCTTCTTGCTAGCTACCCATGCTTAAGGCTGCATTCACACCCAATCGACACCTATTAAGTGCGTCTTTTTTAGCAGTTTTTGCATGCACATGTTAAGTCGCGCATTTTTCAAGCTCATTTTGGCACTTTTATGTGAATGGGTAAAATGTGCAGAAAAACAGTTTCTATTGAGTCTATAGGGGGCAAAACGTGCTGAAATCTGCCACAAGGTAGCTCATGTACTAGTTTGCGCGACAGGTGTTTTTTCTATTTTCCGACAAAATGCAAAGGTGTGAACAGGGGCCATAGAAAAGAATGGGATTCCTGGGGTTGAGCGTTTTGTCACGCTGAATCAGTCCGCTGAATTTGCGCTGTGACCAGTACGCCTAGATGTGAACGGGGCCTACTTTAGAGACATAACTTTCTGTTTATTGCCCTGATTTGCCTCATGGGTGGATATAGTCCTCAATAATACATTCATAGTTCCTCATATTCTCTCCATTTGTTGAATTTATTTCTGACACCTAGCCCCTTTGTTCTGTCCACCAACAATTTAGGGCCATTTGTGTTTTCATACATGAGCTGGAAAAAAAACTGAAAATGCAGCATAAGTAAAGCAGAAAGTTTAGAATAAAAGTGATGCCCTTTATTTGCCAACTTGTGTTAGCAATCTTTTGAAACCAGGCTTCTGTGTCAGAAGTAATCATTTCAATTAAAGTTAAAGTGAAGCATGATTTTATGTCGCTCCTTATCACTACTGTAAATCTGCAATTATATATGTGGTGGCATTTCCTGCAGAAATGGGGCCGGAATCTTCTGTTACTGTACTAATGGAGAACTTCAAATGGCTTTCCACAAAAATGTGCATAAGTGTGTATTTATCAAGGTTATTTAGGTGCTTTGCTCCACACTTTTTCATGAAACGGTTGTTGCAACAAAAACATTTTAAGTATAGGGTTTGGAACTTCTAACTCCACTGGATGCATATTACCAGATTAGCAGTAAGGTAAGTATCACCACTGCACCGGAACATCGGCCTATTTATACAAGTCAGCAATGGCTGACTTTACTCATAGGGTCCCTCTAAGTTGTGGATAGATTAATATTGAACCTAGCCTGCAGCGGCCTACTCATTGAAGCTGTATGTTATGTTCAGGCTCGTTCTGCTATGCTTTTGAGTTAAGCAGTGGATAATCCTATGTAACAGATTAGCATTATGCATTGACAATCAGTTGATTTGCCTTGTTCTACCTAGATTCTAGAAGAAGCCACTGAGGAGGAGACTGCACTACATAACCAGATCATGCCAACAGTTGTTAAACCTCCTAAACAACCCAGCACAGAGCTCAAACCTGCAGGCAGTGAAGAAATGGTATGTCTTGGTGTGTTGCACAGTCTTAAAATTAGTTTTATGTTTGTTTGTTTTTCCTGTTTAAAAAATCATCTAAACGAGCATCATATATTTATAACTAACTTTTCAGTCTGGTTGTATTACACTAATAAAAAGGAGGATTCCACTGTGCTTTAAAGGCCATTTTCAGTACAAATCTTGATTGTGTGTTGTATCTAGTGGGGAAAGGTGAGAATGTATGCCAGGTTTTCATTTGCTTTCGTCTTTCTGTCCCTGTGACAGCAATTTCTTCAATTCTGGTCTTCGTCTTACAGGGATAAAAAGGGGAAATCTGTCCTAAATGGAGTCACAGACTGCTATAAAAACCTTGTATACATTTGAACCCTTCATCACTCTATTGAAAATAAAAGAAAAACATTTATTTGGCTTTTGAGGATGCTCAACAACGTTGGGAAATGTGTCCTGATCAGTAATTTTACCCCTTGATAAGCTGGGACTGAATTCTTTATCTGCGCTACTCACACTTTTAGTTTCAATTGACCCAAGTTATACGGTTGAGTGAGCCTATTATATGAGATTTTAGATTGTGAGCTTTACGGGTACCTTGCCCTGAGGAGGTTGGATTGGTTGTGTCTTCTTGAATGAATGTCCTCTAAAATTGTGTCCAGCTTTAGGTGGAAGCAACCAAATTTGCATTTGAGTGTCAAAACCAGTGAACACAATACTGTGGTGCAGCATAAGCTTACAGCTGGATATATCTGTAAATATTGGTAAAATAACGTTGTGACTTTTACATTTTAAGATTTGTTTTTTTCTGTTTTACAGGAACTGTTTGAATTACAGGTAAGCAAAACTATTTACTGCAGCATGAAATGTAAACTATTGGCTCATCTGTCAGCATCACTAACCTTAAACGA